GTCTCACCCCCATAAAAAGTTATGGGGGTTGAAAGTTGATTATTTTGACAATTTTCATACACTATAATTCAAATAAAATTCAATAAAAAAATTATTTTCAAGCGGGTGGAGGTGGGGGATCGAAAGAGGATGATCACTTGAACAAAACCTGATAACCTAACCTAACCTACCCTACTGATAAAGAAATTTAAATTTATTTAACTTTCTCAATATTTTTATGTATTTTTCATTAGTTTTACCTTTGAATATTGTTTAAGAATGACTATATAAATATTTACATCCCTAGAAATGTATAAAAATTGGCATATTTATTAACTTTGAACCCCTATAACATTTTATGGGATGAGACCGCCAAGAACTCTTTATGGTACAATGGTGGAGAGACCTCCTCTTTCGATCCCCCCATCCCCACCCCCTTCGGGGGTGGTGGCCATCATCTGGACCTTTACCAGAGTTTTAAATATAAAACTTTGAATTGAAAAAAAAACACTTGATATATATTTCTGTATGTCTCACCAAATTCTTGACCATTACAAACTATTAAATCAAGCTTATAACTTGAGAAGTCCCTATTCGTAAAGTGAAAAAATTGGATCAATATTTTTTTTCAGTTGAATACATTACGGTTAACTATTCTAATATTCGTCATTCGTCTAATGATATCGAGGTTATCAGATTTTGCAGGTGATATTAGGGGATTTCCATTGTAAAAGAGACAACGAAAACCAATATCAATAATAACAATGCACAATAGAATCCGCTTTTAATGACATCGAAGGGAAATGACAAACACGTCATACTAAGCGGTCGTCATACAAAGCATAGTCTTAGAAAATAAATAACTTTGTATTTCGGCTAATTTTTATGTTTAATAGAGAGAAAAACTACAAATTGTATATATTTATTAACAGAAAAAGAAAAAGAACGACACGTTGTAATATCAATATACATGAGATCGGTCAGAAAAATGAGCGAAAATGTTATCATTAATTATTTGGATCACTATAGCCGGATATGATTTCTTGAGAATCAGTCATAATAAACGATATGTCATTATAAACGGAGTCATTATATCCAAACTTTCCAATAGATAATTTAATATGAAAACTAAACTTAACACTGCAATTAGTTCATATTAAGCGGTTGGTCAATATAGGCGGAGTCATTATAAACGAATTCCACTGTATATATAATACTCAAAAATATGAAGAAGACTTCTGGTAAGCAGGCAAGCGATCAACAAAATTCGCAAGGAAAAGTTAAAATACATCGTTTCGTACCTCACTGGCTTCCACATTTTTCAGTTGCAATTGTTTTTGATTTATATCGCAGTCGGCGGAAAGAAAGGGAAAAAGTGGAGATTGTTACCGTGTCCAGCCACCGTGGGTAATACGAATGATCGCAACCCACACAATATTGGCCATGTCATCAACGCTACGCTACATAAATAAACGAAACCGAAAACTACCCCCTTTAGTTGTTACTATAACGAAAGCTATTGCTCCCTTCTAATACTGCCGCCGAAAGACGTATTTCGTCGACAACAACGAGATGAAGAAAGTTGAAGGGTGCGGGTCACAGAATAAGAAAGACAGAGGCCATTTTTCACCCCGCGACAAATAAACGTCTCTACGAAAGTTTTTCTTCTTATCAATTTCGAAATGCAATTTTTCATTGTCAGATCTACCCTCAGAAATAAGAGCCTTTCGGCCGCCTTGACTTTAACGAGTTATAACAAGAAGTAAAAAAACAAATGAAAAACATAATGTATTAGTAAAATTGCATTTTATAAGCTAAGCCAATTTCATGAAAGCAAAAAATTAGAAGGTTAGTATTTAAATCCATTTTCGTCAATATGTACACATAAACATTTATCGGTCAGTATTTTAATATCAAAATGGTCGTCAGTATAAAAATAAGTAAACGGTTACTATATTAATTACTTCATCATTATAATAAGGTCGTCAGTCCCAAGACTGGTTCGATCTGCACCTCCAGTCTTTCCTAAGATGAGCCAATTTTCGTATTTTCTTTAAACTAAAACATCCCACATCTTTCACTATTTGTAAACATTAATCTAATTTAAGTCTACCTCTACCGCGCTCAACTCCTGTTTCTGCCTCCAATATGTCTCTAGCTCTACATGCCTGAGGTGTCCTACCAACTTATCTCTCCTATTTTTTATTGACTTACATAGCGCCACCTGTTCTCCTATTCTTTCTAATACCTCTTCATTTATAACCTTCTCTATCTATCTTTGACGAATTTCTAAACAAAACCGTTAGCGAGCATAGAAATGACTTCTTTTTGTTAAAAGCGACTCTACCCTGCCCTCCTCCTAGATACCGAAAATCAGCTTTCTTCTAATTTTTCGTCTCCTATTGATTATACCCTTCATCATCATCATAGTCGTCAGTCCTAAGACTGATGGTTGGACACGTACCTCCACTCTTTCCTATCCTGAGCTAAACTTCCCATTTCCCTAAAACTAGAACAGCCCAAATCCTTAACTATTTGCGAACAATAATCTAATCTAGGTCTACCTCTACCCCTCCTAACTCCTGTTTCTGCCTCTAATATGTCTCTGACTAGACCTCCATGCCTGAGAAGGTTCCTACCAACCTATCTCGCCTATTTTTATTAACTTCCATAGAGTCCTCTGCTCTCCTATTCTTTCTAATACCTTTTCATTTCTAAGCTTTTCTACCCACAGTATCCTCATCATCCGCCTATAACACCACATTTCATTATACCCTTAAGCCGAGTTTAATCTCAAGCTGCGTCAATAGAGATGTTTCACATGAAAAATATTCGAGGAATTATCTTAGTGAATTGAACCAAAATTGTCAATCAAATCGTACTTATTTCATCTTTTTACTGTTCAGATACTTACTACAGTATGTATAATTTAGGTTATTATTTTTATAGGTTGTTATTCCTTTAGACGGCAGGCTGCAAAATGTGTATTAATAATAATAATTTCTATTCTTTGATTGTTACAGGTGTGGTTTAGTAACAGAAGGGCGAAATGGCGAAGAGAAGAAAAGTTACGGAACCAACGGAGGGCGGTGGATCAAGTTGCTGTTAGTCCACCAGTTTCAACAGCGCGGCTGCCCATCAATTCTGGCTTTAATTCTATGTATTCTTCAATACCCCAGCCAATCGCTACCATGGCCGATACCTACAGGTAAAAAATTCACTCTATTTTGCCAATATGTATTAAGTTTAAAACAGTAAGACTTAATGACTCAATTAAGAACTTCTATTTATTAAAGTAAGCCCACGGCCGATATTTGTAATTGAAAAGAGCCGTGGTGCATTAGCGCACAAATCATCACAGATGGCGTTTATCGCGCTGACTGCCTTTATTTATTAATCTTGCTGATAACAACCTAACTGCCAGCCGCTACGGTTGGTTGATATTCTATCAATAGAATAGTGTCTGGCGTGCTGACGAGAGCAAAGCATTTTCAAGTTACGCTTGCAAGCCCCGATAAAATGCTGTCCAAAAACACTCTAACAGTTTCAACAGAATGAAGAGATGCCCTTGTAGCATCTGGCGTGATGATGAGAGCAACGTAGTTTTTTTTTTGCGCTAACGATATTGATCGAAGATTAGAAGGTGAAGTACTGACTATAGGCATGCAACTTATTATCTTTATTACAATTTCATCTAGCTTTTATAGTAAAATGATAAATTCCTTTACGCAATTGTTTATTATTGTTTATACCAGCCACAATACCTTAAGGAAGTAGCAGATTATTCATGTATACTCACACATATTTCATCATAATTTTATGGAGTAATTAATTTGTTCTCAATCAAATATTGATTACGCCATAAAACCTCAGGGTTTATTATTATTAAAATTGGTACGGGTTGAAGCAGTACTATTTCCCTAATAAAACAGTGAAGCATAATAACGCCTGTTCATTGTTTATTAATGTGCAGAGATTATTTGCAACAGCAATAGTTGTTGATGTAATATAAATGGGTAGAAACAGTAGCATTTATTCAACAACATGTATGCCGAGTACACATTCGTGTTCAGCGACCCTCAAAATCCCCGTGAAACTACAGTCGCCCTGGATCCCAAGTGCTTCGAAGGGCAACGCCGACTGCATATTCATGTTCAGCGACCTTCAAAAGACCTCCATGTAAATTAACTATATTAATTTTTAATGATTGGAAAACATAATTCCTGGAGACGACGTGTAAGACGGTCGCCTGAAGGTCATCGCTGACTACATACTAGTGTTCAGTAACCCTTAAAACCCCCGAGTAACAAAATTGGACTAATGCACTTTTAAGATAGCATTTATCTTATGTTCACAAAGTTGGTAAACGGTTCCATGAATCGAATGCAATATTCCAAAAAATTTGAAGGTTCAGTTCTTTATTTCCTCGACTAGAAACATTTTCGAAGTTCTCATGGGAAACCAATGTGCTAAAAAAAGGTTTTTACAACCCATCTAGTATAGATATCTGCCATCCAACTCTTTTAATATCAATGGGAGACCAAAGGCTATCTACTACCTTAAACACGAGTGGAGGATGTGGATAGTTGGGGAAATATTCTAATTTAGTTGTGTTAGGTACGATATCGATAACATAAAAGTAAAAATTAGGAAAAAACCACTGAGAACTATTTCATAAAGTACCAGGATAAATATTTTCAAAGATCCTGGTATAATAAGTGGATTTATCTTGGATCGTCACTTACCTCTATATTCTTTTTAATAATAATCTCCGCTGGACGTATGAACAACACCATGAAATACTAACTCCCAAAGAATTTACCGAAAAGAAAAAGATCAAAACTAGAAGTTTGTGACTTGGTAATGGTAATAGGATGTAAAGAAATGATGACGCCCGTCAAATCTCGGTGACTGGCGCGTATCCAACCGCCTCAGTAGTAGCTAGCGGTCACGTCAACTGAAGAAGAACTTGAGGGATTAGGACATCACACGGGACAGACGGAATCCTGCCAAGCTTATATCTTGTTTGTACATGTAAATGTGGTAGTGCTTTAGTCCGGCCACGTCTATCCGTCGTCGAGGCCAAAGGCCGACTCAGCAGGGCTTTGAGCAGCTTCAGCAGTTTGTTATTATGTATCTGTATGAATAACATTTTCGGATAACTGATAGGTAGGATGAATAACAGAAAAAAAGAACATACCGAACAGCACTGGATCATCGTCTCGTAAGAGGCTGAAGAGTCGATTTAAATGTCAGCTGCTACTGTAACCTTAAAACTATTTCATCAATGTTTGCAAAATCGTGTATCTACATACATCAGAGGTCGGCAAACTTTCGAGACAGAAGAGACCATTTTACTTGGAAAGCAGGGTAATGAAGGTATAAAGGTATATTATCATCATTATAGGGCCAGTATACAAGATAAGAAGGAGTGGAGGTACGTGTCCGACCAGTCTTAGGACTGTCGACCTTAAGATGATGATGAATCCGAAAGGTGGTTGGACACACACCCTTCTATCCTGGGCTAACTTTTCGCATACTACAACATTTGACCATGGGCGTACCCAGCTTCTGTCCTAGGGAGGGGGTGCAAGTCAGATTTTTTTAGGTCAGATCGTCCGGGTTTGTCAAAATACTACGAGATAAATAAAAATTTGGAAGAAAAATTGTAATTTTACACGTCATTTTATGGAGATTCGTTAACCGAACAGATTAAATTTATTTTTATTAACAGNTATTATTATATAATTCTATCGTAGTTAGAATATGTTTTAATTTAACAGAAATTTAAAATGCTTCTTACATCCTACGGAATGAGATTATCCCTTGATTCAAACAATCTCCCACCCTTCCTCAGATCTGTTTTCAGACTCCAAAACGAAAACATTTACCTTGGGCATTGGCAACGCTCATTACGGGATTGTTACTTATCTAAATTAAGCACTATTTTCAAGTAGCAATCTGCAACAAAAATAGAAAAGAGGAAAGAACGAAAAGAAACGAACCACCATCATCGGGAGAAACGTTGGCGGCTCGTATTCACCTCTTTTAAGTAATGAGAAAACGGCATTAAGTTTCATTGATGTTGCAAATGAAGGGCGGTCTCTGTGTTGCTCTTTTCGTACAGCGCCGCGGCTTTGATGACGAGAGGCCTGCTCCCATTAACTTTTAGGGCAAAGCGAAAAGGGCCTGAACAAGCACCGTACGCAGGAATGAGCAGGAAAAATTAATACGAACGGAGCAACGAGCGCAACGTCGCGGCGACAGCGCAGCAACGGCGACGCGACGCGAAGCGACCCTATGCGGCGCGGCGGTCTCCGTTTGCAGAAAAACACATAGTAATGGTCTCTAAAAGCTACTGTTAACGAAGGACGAACTCGACATTTACGCCAGTGTTTTAAGATAAAGTGCAACAGAATGCAAAAGGATAGTTTTATGCGATGTACACTTTCACAAGTATCTGTATGTCTGTCCTCCTACTGGATAAATTGTAACACCTCTGCAAAAGCCTCTTGTAGTTAACATAGGATTAAATATTATATTGCTTTTTTTTAATGAGACATAAGTCCTACGTGTAATTTAAATATACGTTTGGGGTTGCCACTTCAAGTGTTCTATTCCATTCCTCAATACGGTTGGCTTAAATATGCGGCGTGACACGCCCGTAATCAGCTACTATAGTTGGGATGTTCAGAATTGGTATAATCCACAATAAAATTGTCGTATTTACTCTGTTCTTACTGACTAGTCTAAATCGGTTCCTAACACAATGCATACTTTTACTCACGACAGACGTAAGGAATGCAATAAACATAGAAAAGAGATGTCAGGTAGGACTTGCAGCGGACACTAATAAAAAATAGTACATTACGTATCGAGGGAAGAAACAGGGTTTTTTCGGCTCGGGTGGCAAACATGCAGTCTGAGATAACCCAATACTACTATTTTTTGTGATGTTTGTGCGGAAAGCTCGTCATTAAATTGATAGTTGGTGAAGTAAGAGTAAATGACTTAGAGGTTAGAAAGACATTGTCATTGAACAACTGATTTCTGCGCATGCCCATAAACCTCAGCGCATGCGCTCAAAAGACTAATTTCATTTCCTCCCGACTAAAACACGACTGAAAAGAGGCCATTTCTTCCCTATTTCGTAGCATGCAAAACGAGCTTTCCGCGCTAGCATGACAAAAAAGGAATAACATTACACCAATTAATATGTAATAGAAAGAGATACAGACTAACAGAATTTGAACATGTTGCCAACAACGGATTTTAAAGAAAGTTCAACAGGCAAAAACGCAGTAAACGACTGCAGTCCCAAGTGGAAACACGAAAGAAGGTACATCCTAACAGATAATTTATTGCGAATTGTACCAATTTTGATCGTCTGAATTATTTCTCTATTTTTTTGCGCTTCTAGAGTTTGGAAAAAGTGTATCGATCAAAAGTCGAAATGTTAGTTTTGTAAGGGTTTTGGACATGTGCAAACGACTAAACGTAGGACTGTGTAACTAACGGAACTAATTCAATCCTAACCTAACCTAACAGTTAAATTTTTTTTAGTCATTTTTGTCTTTTGTGTGAAAAATCATATATTGTCATAAGAATATAGGTTCTAGAAAAAATTGAAAAGAGATGAATGAAATTATAGTGTGTTCAAAATTGAAAAAACTCAAAAACTAGATACAAGCACGGTAGAGACTTAAAATGTAGGGATGTTACAAAGATAGAAGAGTGATACTTAGTTTGTAGAAAGAGCAACAGACAGTGGAAGTAAAAATTAGGAAGAGAGTCAGACAGGGATGCACACTGTCACCGCTACTTTTTAATCTATACATCGAAGACGCGATCAACATCATCAAAGACAGTACAACTGTAGGGATAGATATACTGGGGCAAAAGATTAGTATGCTTGGATTTGCAGAAGATATATCAGTATTAGCATCTAGCTAGGAGGACTTAGAGATAGCTTTAAATAAAATGGAAGCGGTACTAACAGGTCAGTACTGTATGAAAGTAAGTAAAACTAAAATACTAATATGCAAGGGAAGAATAAGTAGGGAAAGAGCGAATATAAAGATAGGAGATGAAAAATTAAAAGAAGTGGCTGATTTTAAATATCTAGGAAGTCAGATAAGTCAGGACGGAAGGAGTAGTAGGGATATAAAGCAGAGGATGGCACAGGGTCGTGTCGCCTTTAATAAAAAG